ATGTTACAATTTCCGAAAATATACCTATTTTTCACATTTTAAGTTTTTGAGTACACAGGTCTGCTCTTGTCACGTGAACGTTCAATATAGAAATATTGTCTTTTCGTGAATATAACATTTCAAAAGTCATGTATGTGCAGGTTAAAAAATAAAAGATAAATATTTTTATAAAGTAGGTTATACGTTAAAAGAATTTTAACTATTTTTTTATATTATTTTAAGAAAAGATCGTCTCGATTTCTGTACATGTATTTACGGTCTTCTTTATCTATTCACATTCAATGTTTACATCGGGATAAGGTACTTTTGAATTTGCTTGGTAACTTAATTTTAAAAGTGCTAATCTTTGCTGCATATCAATCGATTCCATTGTCCCAGAGATGTATACATCCAGTAGAAAAATAAATTTAAGTTGGTAGTCCAAGAATTTATTCGCATAAAAAATTTTCAAACCAATTGTAACCAAAGCTCCTATAGCCTGCTCGTCGTTTGTTATTTTAGGAGGGAAATGATAACAATATATGAAAATTTTGTTTTCATTTCAATTTAATTTTATTAATTTTATTTATCAGAACGTTCTCTTGTGAATTTTTAATAAATAGCGTCCTTGCTAAAACGAGACAAACATTGAAAAGATAACGATTTCTATGTTTACTAGGAGGTAATATTTTGTCACTAGATTTCCCACTGTACAATAGGAAATGAAATGTTTCCGGACAATAACTTGAGTACAAGTCAATGGATCTCAATGAAATTGTACCACAAGGTTCCATACAAAGAAAAGTAAGGTTGGGAATGATATTGGGGGTCATGGCCCTAACCGTTTGGGGAAAAGGGACCAAAACATTTTTTAATACTTTGTATAAATTGTTTATTTGTTAATATGTTGAGCAATTATAATGGGGTTTAATTCAAAGTCTTGAATTCTTGGGGTTCTTTATTATGCTGAATCTAACCATGTATTTAAATTTTGGATTTTTTGACCTCGTTTTTAGATTGGTCCACATTAAGGTCAAAAAGGTCCAAAATTAAAATTTGTTTGATTTCACCAACAATTGAACTCTTGGGGTTCTTTGATATGCTGAATCTAACAATGTAATATAGATTTTTGATTTTGGGTCAGGTTTTCAAATTGGCCCACAATAAGGTCCAAAGGGTCCAAAATCAAACTGAATTAGTTTGATAATTTAATAAAAATTGAATTCAAGGGGTTTTTGATATGCTGAATCTAAACATGTATTTAGATTTTAGATTTTGGGTCCAGTTTTCAAGTTGGTCCAAATCGGGGTCAATGCTGAATCTAACTATGTGTTTAGATTTAGGATTGTTTGCCCCATTATCAAATTGGTCCATATTGAGGTTCAAAGGGTCCAATTTTGTTTGATTTCATCAAAAATTGAATTCTTGGGGGTTCTTGATACGCTGAATCTAACCATGTATTTAGATTTTGGATATTGGACCATAAAAGGTATATGTCCAATTTCATTTTTTTTATTTTCATAGACTTCATTCATTCTGTGTCAGAAACCTATTCTATGTCAAATATTTAATCACAAGCCAAATTCAGAGATGTATTGCACAATTAATAGAAATTGAGAGTAGATTCATAGTTAAAAATAGATATAGCACCATCATATTTTGATTTTAGAAATTATGTATAAATATAGTTTGAAATTTACTGTTATAATTAGAGGTAAGTTTTAATGATTTTTTAAAAACATTGTATTAATGATGAATTATTTTTTGGAATTTTTTTTTTCATTTTTTTTTTGTACATTTTTGTAAATTAGTTTAGAATGTATATATATATACATATACAATATTAACCAATATTATCCATTAATAAATAAATACTAAGTAAGTAAATTAAAGTCCTGGTGTACTTGGATATTATTGTCCATTAATAAATAAATGAATTAAATTCTTGGTGTGCTTGGATATGCCGAATCTAACCGTGTATGTAGATTTTTGATTTTGAACTGGGTTTTAAAATTGATTCACAATAAAATCCAAAAGCGTCCAAAATTAAACCAAGTTTGTTTTTAACAAAAATTGAATTCAATGGGTTTTTGATATGATAAAACTTAACATGTAGTTAGATTTTTGATTTTGAACCCAGTTTTTAAGTTGGTCTAAATCGGAGTCCAAAATTAAATTTGATTGATTTCAACAAAAATTGAATTGATGGGGTTCTTTGATATGCTGAATCTAACTGTGTGTTTAGATTTAGGTTTTTTGGCCCGTTATCAAATTGGTCTACATTAGGGCTCAAAGGGTCCAAAATTAAATTTTTAGGTTCTTTGATACGCTGAATCTAACCATGGTTTTAGATTTTGGATATTGGACCATAAAAAGTATATGTTCAATTTCAAATTTTTATTTTCTTAGACTTCATTCATTCTGTGTCAGAAACCTATTCTATGTCAAATATTTAATCACAAGCCAAATTCAGAGATGTATTGCACAATTAAAAGAAATTGAAAGTAGAATCATAGTTGAAAATAGATATAGCACCATCATATTCTGATTTTAGAAATTATGTACAAATATTTTTTTGAAATTTATTGTTTATTGTTAGATATTTTTTAACTAATTAGAGGATTTTTTAAAAACATTGAATTAATGAGGAAATTGTTTTGTTTTTTTTTCAATTTTTTTTTGTAAATTTTTAAAATTAGCTCAGAATTATATATCTTTCGGTGGTCGATGTGATGCCTTTCCTCTTCGGCATTATCTAGGGTTGTAACACAGTACATGCTGTATAGTGGCAAGTAGATGGTGTACCTTTCAGATCATCTAGTTTGTATATCGTAAAGGATGATAATGTTAATTACCATGCCGCCACATCAAACTTCAATTTTTATTATACACGTCTGAATATGTGAGACATTCTGAGTGTGAATTTCTCGATCGGATAACCCTTGGTTATACAGGGCTGGAGAATGTCTGTCATAAAGTTGTCACATGTTTATATTTTTATGTAGCCTAGGTGGTCTAGGGCGCTGGACACGGTGCAGGCGGTGTTGCCACGATATCACAGAAGCAAGGGTTCGAATCCCGATGAGGGAAGAACTAAATTAACGCAATTTGAAGATCTAACATTATAAGGCTATATTTGAGACGAATTATATATATTTTATGGTGTAAGCCCTGTATAACCACGGGTTCTCCGATGGAGAATGTCTGTCGTAAAGTTGTCACATGTTTAGACGTGTATATATAAATAGATATATATAAAGTCTCTGAAATATATATATAAATATATATATATTATATAATAGAATAGCATCCTGTAGTTATGCTGAAGAGATGAGTAGATTATCATTCCTGTACACTTAAAAATACTTCGTGTATTGCGTTTGAGATGTCCTTGTTTAATTCCTACGAGAAGGTAACACCTCCCGAAACGAAAGCTGATTTTTATCAGCTATAGTTAGAGGAGGGGATAAGGCGTCTGCGCAATGCTAGGCGTTGTTGTCGTAGAAATATGAAGTGAAAAGTACAGGTTCCAGCCCCAGTCGGGGAGGAAGTAAAGAATTAGATCTACTCTAACATTGTTAGGTTGATTTTCTAGGCAGTTTATATATATAGTGATCCGATGGATAAATCTGTTGTAGAGTTGTCACTGGTTCAGACGTACTTATAAATATAATTATTTCTGTGACTGTATCTTGCATTAATTTGTAGGATCCTTTACAATAGATATTTCAGCTGATCTGTAACAATTCCATCTTCATGCCTTATATATCATGTACTGTATTACGACGCTAGATTAAAACTGACGAGGAAAGGTAACACCCGGCCACCGAAAGCTTTATTATTGTGAAGCCTAGGTGGTCGAGTGGTCTAGCGCGTCGGATACAGTGCAGGCGATTTGGTGTCACGATATCTCAGTAGCATGAAATCGAATCCCGGCGAGGGAAGAACAAAAAAATTGCGAAATTAATTTTACAGATCTAACATTGTTGGGCTGATGTTTAGACGAGTTGTATATACAGAATGTACACAGCCATGTATCACCATCACTGCTGGTGATCCGTTGGATAAATCTGTTGTAGAGTTGTCACTGTTTTAGACGTACTTATAAATATAATTATTTTATGTGACTGTATCTTGCATTAATTTGTAGGACCCTTTACAATAGATATTTCAGCTGATCTGTAACAATTCCATCTCCATGCCTTATATATCATGTAGTGCATTACGACGCTAGATTAAAACTGACGAGGAAAGGTAACACCCGGCCACCGAAAGCTTTATTATTGTGAAGCCTAGGTGGTCGAGTGGTCTAGCGCGTCGGATACAGTGCAGGCGACTTGGTGTCACGATATCTCAATAGCATGAGTTCGAATCCCGGTGAGGGAAGAACAAAAAATTTGCGAAAGCAAATTTTACAGATCTAACATTGTTGGGCTGATGTTTAGACGAGTTATATATATATATATATATTATGAAGCGAACCCTTTTGAAACTTAGCCTTTATTGTCCATTAATAAATTAATTAATTAAATTCTTGGTGTACTTGGATATTATGGTCCAGTAATAAATAAATGAATTAAATTCTTGGTGTACTTGGATATGCTGATTCTAACCGTGTATTTAGATTTTGGATATTGGACCATAATAGGTAAAATCCAAATTTTTCAGTTCTTAGACCACATTTATTTTGTGACAGAAACCTATGCTGTGTCAAATATTTAATCACAATCCAAATTCAGAGCTGTATCAAGCTTGCAGTATCCATACTTGTCCCAATTGTTTAGGGTTCGACCTCTGCGGTCGTATCTAGCAGGGCCCCGCGGAGCATTTTATTTTCTATGTGCTTGATGACGTTGCAAATAACAAATGAACCCGTGGTTTCTGTATATTATTTGATGACAATTTAGAAAATAAATATAATGTATAGATGAACGTTAAATATTTGTCTTTTTACGTAAAATCAGTAGATTTTATATTTTGTTTATAATAACTTTGAGTCTTAATATTTACTTTATACTTACTAAATTAAGCTTCTGTTCATTGACATATGTTTTGGCAAAACTGTGAGCTGACATAAAAGTAACGATGCACAGTACAAGAATACTACTCACTTTCATTTTCTATCTATCTTAATAATCTGAAATAGAAAGAAATATTTTTCTTCAGTATTTTTTATTTTATTTTTTTGTGAAAGGGAGAAAGAGAGAATTTAACGTATTAAAAACTGAATTTCATGCAACTCCAAATCATTTACATTCTGATATTTAAGTTTTCTGTTGACAATTTTCTGTTTGTTTGTTATTTATATTGTGTGCAGTTTAAAAAAATCTTTTGTTATAATTTGACCTGTATCGCTAGCTATCTTATCTTGTACTCATGCATTTACTTACGTGTATTTCACACTATATCATAAATCATCATATATTTCAACCAACATTAAAATTTTGTTCTCAGATGTAAATGGCGTCAAATCTATATGTATTTATACATCAACATGAACTTTCACTCAGCTAGGATTGTCGTACATGGAAAATACTTGTTGAAATATTTCAATACATGGAATAGGTCAACATGACTTGGTAAACTATAAAGTTACGGCATATTACATTTAAAATTAAAAAAGTGTGTGGCCAGAACAACTATAAATATTCACCAGCAAATACTGGTCCCTTCATCGAAAAGTACTGCAGCAGTCATTATATAAGAGAAATGATGTGTATATAATGATCTACAATAGTATCTGTCGAAAACTATAACTTTGGAGCAAACAACAATCAATCAATCAATCAATGTTTTTTTTTAAATAGTTTCCTTTTCAAATATTTGGATATCGTTCTTCACTCAATAATCCTTTTCCCAGTAATTGCTTAACATTCATTTTTTTTTCTATGAGGTATTAGTTAAGGATACAAGTAACATTGAAATTATAGCTTCATAAAATCTACGGTCACCATCACGATTGTTTTTGTATCGTTACATTTACAGTGTCTAAGAGTCATGATTTATTGATAATAAAAAAATATCTTCAATCTGTCATAGATCCCTCGTGTCTCGATTTTTAAAATTACATAAATAAAAAGATAAAACAAATGTTAAAACGCCAAATTTAAGTGCTTGATTTAAGTTCATAGTCCACTTAAAAACTTTAAAATCAAATAGACTTCCTGGCTGCTGATATTCATGCGAACTGTTATCAAATACTAGTATCGGCCCATTAGTGGTAAAATATAAATCAATTTTCATGAGATACTAGACATACAATTTATGAAAAAATGAAGATAAGTTCCGTTGTTTTTTTTTTACAGATACAAACGTTCAATTTTTGTCTTTTTTAGGAAAATAAATATCTTGATTTTTTTTAATGAATGTATGGCCACAAATCAGTGTACAAAGAGGGGTTGATAGAATGACAAGAAATTCAAACTTACCATATATCTAAAAATTTAAAAAGAGAACTAAAAGGTTTGGTTGCAAGTTTTTTTGAAGCCTTTCTAAGAAAAATCGCAGAAGAGTTACAAATATTTTTATTCAATAACAGTTGAAATATGGACATCGGACATCGTTAAGTTCTTAGAAAACAATACTATTTTATCATGCTTACCCCTGATCTATAAATAAGAATTAGCGACTATTCCACACAACCTAAAACAGTTTCTAGAAAAAAATGCTGCGATCATTGAACTGAGTTATGACATAAATACCAGAGAGGAGTGGGTAAACCATTAACATGTGCTAAAAGGCGAAAATCAACGTATAATGATTGAATATCTTTTTTTATGAATTTTAATTTAAAAAATGTTCGATGAGCAAATTATTTTGAGCTCGTTATCATAATGATTTAATGACCAATATCATTTTATCTTGCACCCTTTTTAATGCGATATTACTCATTGTTTTTGTTGTCTATGAAATTAAAATGGACCCACGAGAGAGTTAACCTATCAACCCTTTTAATAAAGTGTTTTGTAAAATTGTCAGCGTTGATTCTTTCATCCCTTGATGAAACTTAAGCCAGGATATACGCATTCATGGCATGACAGGAAGAAACATATCAAGATGTCCGTAATTATACGCCTTTCAATTCCCTCAATAAAATATGATGACATGTTTTTTTCAGGTTCTATCTTATATACAGCTGCTTTTACTGATATTTTGATTATCTAAGAGGGTGTTGACAAATATTTCGGCTGAACAAATAGCCTCCGTTAGTTTTAAGTTTTTTTATCAAATCTAAAACAATACTAGTTGTTTATGTTTAATAATAGCTCAGCAATACAGGTAAAGTTTGAATTATTGATTTAATCCAAAATCTTGAACCTCATAAAACGAAACAATTTCACAGGCTCCTGACTTTGGACAGGCACATACAGAATGTGGCTGGATTTAACATGTTTGAAGGCACCAAACCTCCCCTAACCTGGACTGTGGTGTCACGGCAAAACACAAGAACAAACTACGCAAAACAATAAACGAAAAACAAATATGAGAAACAGCAAAAAAACGACAACCACTCAAATACAGGCTCCTGACTTGAAACAGGCACATATAGAATGCGGCGGGGTTAAACATGTTTGCAGGCGCCATCCCCCTAATCTGGGACAGTGCTGTAACAGAACAACATAAGAACACACTATAAAAATAAGTTGAAGAAGGCTAAACTCATCAGATCGATACAAAGCAGAAAATATTTAACAAATTACAGACCAGATTTGACATGGTATTTATACATCCCTCACACACAAAAAAAGACACAAAATACAGATATGAGAATACTCGCAGTTACTGACAGCTAGTTCAAAGCCAATTACAACTAATAAAAAATAATGTATCTAAGACTTAGATATGAATCAGTTCACATCCAACATCAAAATGATTTAGTGTAAAGACGTCATTAACAGTTAGAGAAAAATACGACCTTGTGCAATGCCAAACTATAAGCATCGACAGATTGTAGTGCCGTGAATGTGTATATGTGTTTAACAATGATATTTAGTATGGTTTAAATTTACGGATAACAAAATCAAAATTTATACCAATAAAACAATATTCAAAAATGTAATTACAGTGTTAAATTGGTAATATTTTAGAATAAGTTTATTTAATGGATTGACAAATTTACCCGGATAGTATCTAAATTTCCGGGCTCAGTAAACAACATCATCGTTAAAAGTAGGATGTGCTATTCCGTTTGCAATAAGTTTTCTACATGTAAAGCCTAATCTTTTTTTAATGGATTTATATAGTTGAATGTATAGTTCCTTTATTCAGAAGGTTTCCCGAAACTACCGATGGGCATCACTCCAGTGAATGTTTTGTTCAATCACTAGGACTTTCATTTGGTTAAAAGCATCAAGTTTACGAGCCGAGCTGCTGGACTAACTGGGAGAAGTGACGTTTTAGAGACACTTTATCACTTCTATGACCATTGTTGCGTTTGTGGGAAGCCTGCTTTGACTCACCAACATATTGCAGGCCACAAACCGAACATTCTAGATTGTAATAACGTTCATAATTTTTGCAGGTCACATTGCAATTTATTCTATAGTTATTTTGGTGGCCTCACTGTGGAATGTTTATGAGTGATGCGTCTGCAGGCAACATTTGCAGCGTTTTATCACCACGCGAATGTCCTAATATTGCATACCCTTTATTGCATACCATGTATTACATCACTTTTTAATATACCTCTAGAATTTTTATGTTAAAAAATACTGAAGCGTAAATGGTAAAATCTTGATAGACATTAGCCCTCATGTCTTTGGTCCTCTGTCAAATTTTCAGTTAAATGAGAAAACCATGGACTCAATATGTTTAACATAAACATACACAATGAACCTCTTATCTATTTGCAAAATAGTATACTAGGTTGTTTGCTTCTCATGGCTCTCATAATGCACAATATACAACAGTCCACAAAATATACCAGAATTCCGTACACAATTTCTATTGAGATTTGTTTTTTACCATTTCGGAATAAGATAGCCGCTTGGTATTGGTCTTTTGAAGACGAAACTCGCATCTGGCGTATCAAATGTTAATTCTAGTATATATGATGAGTCTGTTTTCAACCACTGGGTCGATGCCACTGCTGGTGGAGGTTTACAACCCGAGGGTATCACCAGTCCAGTAGTCAGCACTTCAGTGTTGACATGAATTATCATTGATATGGTCATAATTATGAATTAAATGTTTGCAAAACTTTTGATTTTTTTTTCGAAATACTAAGGATTTTCTACACCAGAAATAGATTAACTTAGCTTTATTTGGCAAAACCTTTCGGAATTTTGGGTCCTCAATGCTCTTCAACTTCGTACTTTTTTTTTGCCTTTTTAACTTTTTTTTATTCGAGCGTCAATGATGGATCTTTTGAGGGCGAAACGCGCGTCTGGCGTACACAATTTTAATCCTGGTATCTATGATGAGTTTATTTAAAATTACATACCGGGTATATTAAGATGCCCAGTGTAAGAACATATGTAAAAAAAGTCCTATTTTGTTTAATGATAGTTCCAGAATTAGTCAATTTAGTGGACTCACAAAACTGTGTTTAATGTGATATTGTATATTTTCTCTCATTTTCACCTAAAATGTAGTCGAAGTTATAGTGATAGAGAACAATCAACGATCGTGTAATAGACGAACAATTAACTTTATGATAATTTAAGTTCAATTGATGTTGAAAAAAACCCAATCTTTTTTGACAGAGTACAGAGGTCTATATTGAGAAGTTAAAACAAATTACGAAACCAATTTAAATTTCAGCACGAACATATTATTTTTATACTATATAATTATTCTTTTCTGAAATGATTTCTAAACCAGGCCGAATTTAATTGTTCTTTGATAAATCTTTAAGTATTAAAGTCTTTTATTATTCGATACAAGTTTAATCACCAAAGAGCATGTATATGAATTGATATTTGTACTATCAGGAGACGGTTTTGCTAAAGCTGTTGCCAAATCCAGAAAATTAATTCATATGATGTTATTCATATGTGTTCACGGAAATGAATATATGTTTAAACTAAAATTTTGTTGTCTTACATACGCTTTAAAATTTATTTGCTGCATCTTTTCACATTATCAACTTAACTTTATCCTTTGAAAAAAAAACCAGCAAAAACAATAGAAGTGTAT